AGCCCGGTGGGGGCCGCGCGCCCTTGGCCCGCACGGTCCAGGGCGGGGAGTTGGCCCCCGCCTTGCTCCCCGCTCCAGCCCGTGGGCCCGAGGGGTCGTTCTGGGGTGGGGGCCGGCCCAGGCGCTGGGGAAGGGCGCCGCGAGGGCCTGGAGGCGCCGGGCGGGAGGGGCTCCCTAGCCGGCCAGGCCGGCCAGGACAGCCGGGGGCCTGGGGAGAGGCCTCCCGGCGGTGGGGGAGGACCTGCCCCTCCCCGCCCCCCAGAGGTGTTGGATGAGTGACTGGGGAGCGGAAGACCGAGGGGCCGGTGGGGAGACTGCAGGGTGAGGGAGCGGCGGCCAGCTCTTAGCCTGGCCAGGGACGGGAGGAGGAGTCAGGCAGCTGCTGCAGCTGGCGGAGGGGGTCTCCCTGGGCCAGCGTGCCCGCCCAGTGGGGGTGAAGCGGGTAGGTATGTGGGTACGGGCAGGAGCCCCTGGAGCTTTGGGGTCCACGCATGCCCCCCTGACCCGCCTCCAGGTGGCTGAGCTAAATGGTGGGGGCCTGCTTGTGGCCTGGGGGACCCCTGGAGGTAGGTGCTGGGTGGGACAGCAGCTGGGATGAGGACACGGGTGCCCGGCCAGGGCCTCTCTCCTAGGACCTGGGTCTCAGCAGTGTCAGAGATGTTACATTTTATGTCCTTGCTTAGATGGGGCAGTGAACAGGTCAGGGTGCTGGGGGTCCTGGGGGATGCTGGGCCCCAGTCAGCCTGCAGGTGCCTTCCCGAGTGGGGGTGGCGGTGTCCAAGTATGCTGGTGAGTGGGCACAGGTGTGGTGGACGGTGCGTGGGCGGCCTGAGGGGCAGGGGCTGAGGCACCTGGGCCGGCCATGTAGCTGTCGGGTGAGTCTGGTGGTGGGCAGCTGGAGCAGCACTGGACCTCGGTAGCAGGCCCTGGCGGGCGCTGGCTGATATAGAGAAGTGGGGCGCAGGCCCTAGAGGAAAAACAGGGCTCCGGTGAACCTCTGTTCTGGATAAGAAAACCCCCTGCCCCGGCCCTGGCTTCTGCCCTCCTCCCCAGATGGGCAGGGAGTGCCCCACCTCCTCCCAGTGGGGTCGACCCCAACGGGAAGGCCTCGGGCCGGCCTACCGGGCTTGGGGCCCAGAGAGAGTCCAGGGCCTGTGGGTCCAGCAAGCCCGAGCCCCGCGCTCCGGACGCGCGCGCGCCCGCGCCCGCGGAACTGCCACTTCTGTTCCCCGCCGGCTGTGGCGGGAAGGAGGGTTCCGCTCCCCCAGGTGGGGCAGCAGCGCCCCCTGGAGGCCTCACGGCCCCGGCGCGCGCACGGAGAGGCCCGGCCCTGGCCCTGCGCCCCGCCTAAGCCAGTGAAAGCC